TTTAAAGTTCTGAATACAACTGTGGTAACCTACGGGGTAACGTAAGTGAATTTGTTGTAGATTGTATAGTAAGAAACAGAGTAGAGAAAAATAATTCGTCTTGTCAATTGGATTCTTAAGTAATTGAATCACCCTGTGTGGACTTTTGAAAATAAAAGAGAATTATTTAGAGTTTTAGATACAACTGTGATATCCTAAAACGTAAAGAAGTTTTGTAGATACTTTTGACTTGTTTTGAACATATATTAGTTAAAACAAGTGGAATGTGTGCTGTCCGTTTATTTTTCGAATTCATTGCCAACAAGTCATAGACACCTACTGTACAATAATCCCAGACCATATATATCAAACCCTGATAATAACTCTTCACCTTTAATATGCAGGTAAACTGTATGCACACCCTGTGTGTAACATAAAACTGATGTGATATATATCGTGAATTTCTTAAATAGCATCAACGTTATCATGAACTTTGAAAAGGACTCTTATTTACTGGCCTGACATGGCCAGGTGGTTAGGGTACTGGACTCGCAATCTGCGGATTCGAATCCCTGTCCCAACAAATATGCTCGCCCTTTCAGCCGTGAGGCGCTATAATGTACCAGTCAGTCCCACTATTCATTGGTAAAAGAGTAGCCCAAGACGTGGCAGTGGGTGGTGATGACTAGCTGCCTTCCTTCTAGTTCTACACTGCTAAATTAGGGACGGCTATCATAAATAGCCCTCATGTAGCTTTGTGCGAAATTCAAAACAAACCAAACCAAAACCTAATCTACTGAGAGTTATGTAAACAAATATTGCTATATGTTGGTGAAGCAATAGTATCAAACGATAACAATATGTTACGTCTGTGTTCGTTTGTTAATTTCCCGTATAATTTCTTTCGGATGAAACTTTAGCAATACAAGTCCTTTCTTAAATAAAACTAGTTTATTCTTTCTTAATACAATTTTGCAATACATTTAATTTCCACAGCCACTTTAAATTAAATACACGCTATAATTCATAACGATTCACGCACTTTACTACCGTGCTTGACTCAATTGTCCATCTCTATCTCTGCCTGTCTGCAATTCAATTCCGATTAATTGTCTCGTTTTATCTGGCACTTATATACAGGAATATAGAACATCTAGCAAATACTGGATTATTCGTGATGTTCCCCGATCCTTCTAGAAACTCATCACGTGTTACCAGCGTCACGTGACTTCCGCTGTCTTAACAAATACAATATTTAATTGTTTAAGGTTTAAGCTGCCTCAGTGTGTTATATATACAACTTGCTCTGTTATGTGTTCATTACGTAACACTCATTTATTCAACTTGCATATATTTATTATTGTGAGCCGGCGGGGGTCACGTGACGCTAGTAACACGTCATATTCTCGAACGTTCACGTCCCTTCCTGAAGCTTCGAGAGGTTACTAGATATAAGAGCGGTAAGAAGTGAAGGGAACAATGTACTGTC